ACAAATATTTTGTTCCACTTTGCAAGTATGACACCGTCTTAAAATCCCCCATAAGGCAACACTTCCCAGCTTTTGTTTTGAAAGTTGGAGGTTAAACAGATGAAACGTCTTTAATTTTCAAAAATAATTTCTCCTGATGCAAGCAAACATTTTGCATTGGAAGGAGTTTTGCATGCCTCTGCCCAGTGTTTAAAAAAATTATATACGGTATATATGTACAGCAGAGATGACAGGCTCCTGCAGTAATAAATGGCTACCACCAGGTTTGAATCACACTTATGAATATTAAACAAGGATGAATTTAAAATAGGCGATAAATCTGAATGCATTATGCAGACACCGAGCACACTTAGCATGACTTTCTGCTGATTCAAAACCCGGTGCATGTTTGTGACCATAAATCTAAACAATTCATAAAAAAAATACTTGAAAATACTTAATAGGACAGGATAAAATGGGGGGTAGAAATTGACAAAAAAAAAAAGGTAAGAACACCCAGAACCGATGAAGGCAGGTGGTTCACAAATACCAAAGAATTTTATTTTTAAAACTGTAGGAGGCTTAGTCTTTTAATTTACACAAATAAGTACAAATATGCTTTAAAAAATGAACAAAAAATCTGTGAACACAGTTGGTATCTGATGCCTGAAGGTCCTGGGTTTGAATCCTGCTCTAAAACCTTTTGCCTATTAGGTCAGTTGGTCTACCTTTGCATTAAAACACAGGGAGACATTAAACTCTCAGTAAGAAATGGGCTTGTATGTTGTTTTTGCAAGCAGTCTACTCTGTATTTTTTGCAGCATTTACAACTTCTCATTTGACATAAGTCACATAATTACCACCAAACTGCACTTAGAAAGAAGAGGCCTCTAACGTGCAGTAATCACACTGAAGGAACCAGTAGGAATATAATGTGACGCTTCATGCATAAGCAGCGCGCGCGCATGCCCACACTGTGAACGCCGCAGCTTATGAGTGTGCACGTCTGTACGCAGGACAAGCCTATTACTACTTGACATGCAAATCTTTTTTCTGACCTTCTTCTGTCTGTCTCATGCACCCCCCACCGCCCTGTCTTCACATAATCTCCCTGTTTCGTTTTCTCTCCTCTCTCTAGCTTCACTCTCTTTCCCGATACTTTTCTGTGCAGAAACTCAGGGATTCAGCTCAAGATGCCAACGTCAGTGGAAAGCCGTTCATTAAAATGTTTATGGGAGAATATATGGGGGCAGAAGGGTTGGAAATGGTTGATGAATAAACACAAATATTGAAGGCCAAACAATAAAGTTTCAGTATTTAATGTATTCCAGTGGCCATGTTGCAAACTTCAACTAACACAACGTATGAATTTGGTTGGTAAAGCACGATGGTACTTACTGTAACATTTTATGCAGATGCTTTGAAATCGATCTGAAGAGACGGACCTGAGAGTCGTTGGATTTATCTGACCAAAATCTGCTTTTTTTTTTTTTTATGCAAACATTTTTCTCGTGTATGTCCTCCTTGCTGCCAGTAAATATGGACATATGTTTCTGCCTTATGTAACTGTTTGTCAAAGTAACCTGGTTTTCCTCCTGCATAGTGCGTCGTAAGTGTGCGTGGGCTTAAAGGAGTAAATGATTAAACTCTGACTCGCTGTGCATGCAGTCCTCTTCCTATCTCGGTGACTGCCTTATCGAAGACCATTACCAAAGACTCGAATCCCGATAAAACTGTTTATTATTCCTCAGCTTTTTATCATTTTAATTTAATATTTACAGAGGCTTTGTGTTGCTTTTTGGACTTTTACTTGGCAACTTTAACGCAAATAGAAAAAGAAAAAAAAGATGCTCTATGTCCTGTTTGCCGTTAAGCTGTTTGGTCTTCTCTATTTCTCCACTGTTTTCTCATTCTGTTTCAACTCTGTCATACGCTTAATTCAGTTTTCAGCCCCAGATGACACTCGTATTGTCTCTTTTGTGCATCTTCACAATCCACAAATTAATCCTAATATGAGAGGGAACTCGCTGCAGAAACGCTGATTTGTAACCGTTCCAGAATTGGAGCTGGCTTTGGCAAAAGATGACTTGCTAACAAGAGGCAGCTGTTCTGAGGGTATGAAAAAAAAACTCTTGTGTCATTTATATGTGCAGAGCACACAGTGAAATTGGGATATTTTGTTTCCTGATGGACTTCTAAGCTTTGAAGTTTGTTTGCATAAATGTGTCAAAGTGCCCCCAAAATGATCAGTCACCATGTCAGCACACTATGCGGTGTCCTTTCCTTTCTAGTTATGTGCAGCACACAAAGACCGACCCAGACAAGATGGAAATTTATTCAAACCTTTATTAATAAAATACAAGCATAATTTGGAAAGAAAAAAAAAGAATATCAAAATATCAAAGAATATGTTTTATCTTATCAAGCCTTGTCCTGTTTTCTTTTAAATGTAATTGCAAAATAGACAAATGCGTAACATCTTTGTTGCTGAGTGTGTGTGTAGCTTTTAATTAGCTATAACTTTTTCCTCTCTATGTGGCATTTCAGCCCATGTTGGCACAAGACGATTACCTTCGTTCTGGGGTTGATGCGCATAATTTCTTCTAAAAGAAGCTCATCTCTGGGACTCAGAACGCGTCTCTTCCTGACTGGACATTCCCGTGTGGTCTCGATTTGCGTATAATTATTTGATCAGAAGAAAATGGCACCGTCAGGCACCTGGAAGGTGTGCGAACCGGATTTGTCCTTGGATTTTTCAACAATAAATACTCTATCAGGTTGGCTTCCAATATGAGTGAACCTATCAGAAGCTTGTAAAGTGGTGGCATCATCTGGGATTTCCCAAATTTGTAAAAACATATATAGTAACCTTAGTTTATGTAAACTTCTGACCCAGTCATGTATAAAATGTAAATCCTTGTCTACATGGAACATGCTACTGCCTCAAAAGTGAAACTGGAACAATTGTTTAATTTTATTATCTTTTTTATTAAGCATAATAAAATCCTTCCTACATCTAAATTCCATACTTGCAACAAATTTTCAATCAATTTAACTATTGATTGTATATTTTAAAACGTCCGTGTCGCAAACAACTAGTTCATAATCTAATCTCCGTGTCTTTGAAGCTTGGTCAAATAAAACCATTACTTGGCAGCAGGCAAACGCTGCCTCTTGCTCTTCCTCGCAGTCAAACACACAGATAAGGGAGGTAATTTGCGAACAAGGTTGGGGGTTGTTTTTGCAATTGCTGGGTCAATGGTCGTCGCTTTCCACACGCACACACTCGCGCGCACACACATCACTGTTCTCTCCTGCAGGCAGCAGTGCGCATTGTCTCCGTGATGAAAGGTTTGCAGATTCCACACACTTTGTTTCTCTGTTGTTTTTGCATTTTTTTTTTCCTCTTACATAACATTCAGAGCCAAACATGGATATAAGAGAAGAGCTTGTGATCAAAGGAAAGACTTTTTTTTATTTTTTTTTTATCATCTTTTATATGCAATTGTGTGACAGATTTTTGATGTTTCCCTCTTCCAGGATGCATTGTTTGAAGCCAAGGAATTTCTTAATAAATAAAGGGCTTTAGCTATCTTCCCAAGAAATCTGTTCCTGGCAGCGGAAAACTTTGGAACGCCATCAGTCATATCTGGAAATAGTGTGTGTATAATCCACAGATCTAAATAATGTTGATAGCGACTGTGCTGGACGGTTCTTTTAAAATCCTGGATGCAGCATCACAACGGATGTGTTTATTTTACGCATTTTTTCCATTTCGTGTGTCGTTACCAGACGTTTCTGGAAAAATAACCATGTCTGTTTGCACTTTGGTCCAAAGCACCACAAAACTTAACCCAACAGCAAAGTTAAGAAACACAAAGCACTACTAAATTTCAGGAACATTTCCAGGCCAGAAGAGATGTATAGTCCCTTCACCAAGTTCTAGGTCTACCCAGGAATCTCCTCTTGTTAGTATGAGCTGGGAAAATCAGATGATTAAATCACTTCTTCACAGTGGCTCTTCTTTGAACTTTCCTCAGATGATAAACCTCCAACCATTGTATCAAAAAAAAATTCCTTTGCTTGTTTCATTGATTTTGTTGTTTTGCTCTTGACCTGTCTCCCACAACCAAAGCCAGAGGCGACCCGAGGCGCTGCATATGCTCTCCAAACCAACAGGGGGAACCCAAGAGCACTATAATCACTCCAAATTTTCTGCCACAATCCAAGAGCACACATGTTCAGAGTTAAGTTGATTTTTCCTAAAATATCAAAATCATACTGAGGTGCATTCGGGCAATATTAACTTCTTGGCTTTAGAAGCTACAACAGAATTTCCATTAGAATAAATAGCTAATATTTATATTTCCTGTAATAAAAAGCTGTGCCCCTTCTCTCGACCACTGACTGTAAGGGACAAACACCAATATCCCCAGCAGCATTTAACACAGTTAAAAACTACAATTATAGCTCTGAGTGGCATCTGTCAAGCAACAAACTGCAGGCTAGCTACATGAGTATGTAGCCCGACTAATTAATTGGGTTATACCATTTAAATTGTTTTATTCAATGTGTGTGTGTGTGTGTGTGTGTGTGTGTGTGTGTGTGTATATATATATATATATATAATTTTTTTTTTACTACAATAGGAATAACAAAGATGTGCCACAAATAAATTATTGTAAATGTGATATACATTTGCTATTTCTTTTTTAGCAGAAATAGGAGAAAATGTGATAAAAGCAGTATATTATTATATTATCTAGGCTAACCATGGTGCTGTTATTATTACCTGTATGTTCAAGACAAAGCCTCATCCTGTGTCATTTGTTTATTTTATTTTGCTGTGGTAATTTTGTGTTTCTTGTTCAAAAAGTAATTGCATTTTAAAGACCAGCCTCATCTTCACACCAACCTCTTAAAGAGGAAAAAGAAATTTGCATTCTTTTTCAGTCGCTCTGTCTCTCGATACCATTTGGCTACTTTTAATTGTGTTTCACTTCTGAGTGAAGAGGAAGTGGTTATGTGTTTCCTGCCCCGTCTCCCCTCCTCCAGCAGAACACACACAGAGAGAGAGAGCCCGGTGAGGTAAACGCAGATCTCGGAGGGGAAAGCAGAGCACAAGCGAATGAAGAAAATGGCGATCTCGCAGGATGTATGCTTACCCTCGTAGATGCTGCAAACGCGTTGAATTTCTTTAGCCTTACAGTCGGCTTTCCTTTCCACTCTGTTGCACTTTATTCTTCAAAGAGGTGAGCTATCCTGTGCGGTGTTTTTAATCTCTTTTTGTCGAGCTGGTTCACTGGAGGAGTGCGAGGCAGGGAGACCCGGGTCGCTGTTGTTTGGTTAGCCTTGGCTATTTCAACGTAGCTAGCTCATGTACTTGGCGCATTCGTGGAGATGAATTAGTGCTCCTGCAGTTTATGAACACAAGGTTGAGTTTTCATGCAGCGGATACTGGAAATTAAATGGTGTGAGTAACATATTTACACCAGGAGGCATCTTGAGGTTAACCTTGCGCCAACTAGTACTAGTTTAACCCCTGTTCGACATCTGTGCGAACATTACTCTCAAAAGAAGTTATTCGGTACATTGAAGCAGTATTTCTTGCGGATGTAGAATTTATATACAAGTAAAATATTATAATTAGTCCCCATGTACTCTTTATTTTTCAATTTATTTAATTTACGTTACTTACATTTGATACGATACAACACCGGCTAGCCGCTTAGCAGCATTAGCTTCTAGCGTTAGCAGTAGCTAATTCGACGACGCAGTTACAGTGAACTGCTGTTTGGCATTTATGCAGCTTTTATTAGGCACACGGCTGTGCAAATATAAAGCGGAGCTTTTTATTTAGCGTGTTTACATTAGTTACACAATTTTTTATGCTAAGATTAACTTGCATAGGATGTTTTTTTTTTTTAATTTATTTTATTTTATTTTATTTTTTAAAATCTGCTCATTTAACGCCCTCTGTCGGTACGTTAGCACCATGCAAACTGTGCAGCTAAATGCCGGACCCCCGCTCTGGTAGAGATGCAGCCATATTCGGCTGAAAACGTTCCCTGATCAGACGGCAATCGTAAATGCAGCGGCATTATCAATTACGTGCATGAGAATACTTGAATATTCAGTGAAGATTTCTGCATTTGGAAGGACCGAACAAACCCCAGGCTCGGGAGAAGCCATGTTGGTTAAGCTCTAACTCGGGCAACAGCTGAGATAATGGCCGATCAGGACCTGAGCTGTAACTTTGACCTACACACACTCTCTTTACATTTTCATTTTCTCATTCACGGTGACAGGCATTTAGCAGGATGTGTGTTTTCCTGCTATGCTGTTCAACCTGAATTTCTACGTGTCTTGAAACATTTTTTTTTCATGCTGAATTGATTGTACACGTTCATAGACACTGAGAATATGTCTTCATACCCTGTCAAGAGCTAGCCAAACAAATTAGCATGTGCTTTGATTACATTAATTTAAGACAATAACAGTATATTAACACAGATATAACTTGGTGGCAAAGTTTTAGTTTGGGGTAGCGTTGATTTGAACCTTTAAGCGAGTAATGTTTTATCTTTTCTTTTTATTTCAGAGATTTGGAATTGAAAGCTGTTGCCACCAAAGAAACTGAAGCATCTTAACAGGTCAGTGCACCATCACAAACATACACACATCCACATCAATACAAGTTCTGCCAGTATAGACCATAGTTGGTTTTAAGTCAGTAGACCATAGTTGGTTTTAAGTCAGTAGTACTGGTGAAGAATATTATTTTTGGTAGATGGATATACAGAAATTAACAATTTTAGAGACTGTCTTGCTCTCTGCTATGAATACCTCACTTATGTTTGCCATTTTAAGACTGTAAAACCATTTATTATTCATATACTCGCATAATTATTTATACATATTTTTATAAGTAAATGTTTTTCATGAAATCTGGAGAAAATTGGTAATCCTTAATGCTAAAAGCTCACATGTAGTTAAAATGTGCACTTGGTATGTAATCAAACCTGGATGGGATGAGCGGCCTCCTGCAGTTTGGGATCATTGGAGTCAAATAAGAACAGCAAAATGTCGACCAAAACTATAAAAATTATAAAATGACCAGCACTTGTTGTAAATTGTTTCAGGAAAGCAGCAAAAATAAGAAATAAATCTCAAAGCTTGATTTCTTTTCTGATTTTTTTTTTCTTTAAAGATCTGAAATGTGTTTCGGTTTCTACCTCAAGTGGAGGATAGATTTGCACATGTACACTTCAGTATTTGGTAAAAAAAAAAAAAAACTTGCTAGCTGTTTCTCTCTATAGGTGATAAAGAACTTGTCTTTGTCGCGCAGAGCGGCGTGTGTTTGTCTGGGATGGGCAACCCCTGCTTATGCTAGCACATGCAGTTCCGTTTGAATTGAATTGGTGGGTCTGGGTCGGTCCGAGCTGCTTGTGCTGAGTAAGCTTTGCTGTTTTAAAATCGCTAAATGAGAAGCCAGAATCCCGATGTTTTGTGTGGAGGGGTGTTTGTGCAGCTCTTTGTGCTCCACATGCAGGCAGGCACACAATGAAGCAGTTTAGTCCCCTTTTCTTTTTTTCTTTTTTAAGTGACTAAATTTTTTCAGGAAACTTCTGTGCTCTCACTTTTGTTTTCAGGACATATTTGTGTTTTTTTTTTTTTTTTTTTTTAGTTTTTGGAGAGTCTGTGTACATTGAAATAATACACAGACTAGAATCAGTGTTTTGGTTGTTCAGTAAACCCTGTAATGCCGGTTTGGTTGGTTGCCATTCTACTTTGTCTAATAGTTTCTGAGCACTGGAAAAAAATTTTCCCAGCTGAAAGTGTTATAAGGACATGATAATGGGAGACAGTGCGATTAATATTCCAGGGTACTAAAAATGTTTTACTACTTTTCTCATACTTGGATTATTGTTCCCCAAGGTCAGCTTAAAAAACGTTTTTGCATTTGTACATTTTTAAATGTGTAAATGTATAAATACATTTATGTAAACTTGATGTTAAATTTTTCTAACACTAGTTTCTCCCAGTTGTCTAATTTTTCTTTCTTTCATATTTCTATGGTTTTATATACGATCTGTTTGCACATAGTTAGATTCTACTGGGAGTAATAAAATAATCCAATCTATGAAAAAAATCTGAACAATTCTAAAAACCTAATTTTGAGCTTTCTTGCTTGGTTGCCAGATTTTCCAGATTAGGTCTTTCAACTTTCTGCTCCATTTTCCTAAAAAACCCTAATGAAACCCAAAGCTCACGCTGCCATGTTTATATTTTGATATTGTTGTCATAAATTACCAAGATAAGCCGCTTTACTGCGTTAGTGGCTACAAGGATCAGATAGTTCATCGTTGCCCCTCGGAGCCATAAACCACACCCAGGTGGTTGTGAGATAGAAGCGAGTCAGGCACAGAAACGGAGGGTTTGATGCAGTTAGTTGACCCATGCGTGCTCAGACAGGATGTGAGCCACAGAAATGCAGTTTTGCATAAACAGGTTATCAAGCTGTCTGGTTCTGCAGCGACTTTATTTGAATCAGCTTTTGGGAAACGTGCTGATGTTTTGGAAGGGCTTTCTTTGTTGTTGTTGTTGTTCTGTTGCACTTTTAGATTTTATGCAAAATGTGTTCTTTTTAGTATGAAAAAGTGTAAGTTTCTTGATATAAATATAACTTTTCTTCAATGAAAGGTCAAAACCTGCAATGTTTGTGCCCCTGCTCTTATATAGATTCTTAAGTCCTAAAAAAAGTTTATTTGCATATTTTTGTGGTGTGGTAAATTTTAAATCAAACCTTAAATCTAAAAATGTACTCATTGCTCCCCTGAAAGCCACACAGTGTGGTTCCTTTCCCCCCTTTCTTTCTTTCATTCATTTATTTATTTTTTAGTCTGCGGGATCATGTTGCCTTCCTTGGGTTACCTTGACCTGAAATGAACTGCTCTTCGTTTTGGCTCCACCAAGCAGATACCGTTCAGCTCGCCTAGAAATGTCACATGTTGCTCTGCAATAAAAGCCTTTGGTGTTTTCCTGCTTGTGATAAGGACAAAAATAAAAATGCATCATCCATTAGTGGAGTACGTCTGCCCTGCACGGGAGCCTCGGCTGTTTGGGCTCCACGAGAACGAAAATAATGCAAATCGATGAAAACGATGTGCAAATTAGCCACGCGGCCACTCTGTGGTGTTTATCAGGGATGGGCGCGCCTTTACCTGCGTTTGCTTTGAAAAGGTTCAGGGCGCTGCCACTCCAGAGCTCAGAGGGATTGTAAGCGGTTCCCGGTCCAGTTCGTTTAGATTGGTGAAACAAATGAGCGATGAAGCCATGTGAAGTTTTACAGTAACTGATGCAAGAGTGAACCAGTTTCTTATCGGCAAAGAAGTTGTGCGTAATAGTGAAAATGAAACTGTAGATGTTTATCTTGGGTTTTTCAGGTCTGAAAAGGGATTTAGTACGTTTCCCAATGAATGGGATGTTGAATTAGAAGCTCACTTAATGGTTGTAGTTAAAAGTTATCAATGTTTTGTTTTCTTCTCTCCAAAGAGCTTAAAGTGGTTTAATATAAACTCAGGTTGAGTTATTCCAAGTTGGGGAAAGCTGCATTATTGTGAATAAATTTGTTTTACTTAAAGGTGAATCGAATCCTCGTAGAGTTGTGGAAGACATGTATTTTAAAGGAATATTCCCCTAAAAAAAAAAGCACAGATTTTGCCTGTAGAAGTAACAGGTTTACTTGTAATCCGTAATGTTCCACATTAAAAAAATATTAGGTTTATGGCGGCTTTTGGAAAGAAATCTTACTAAATTTGTTTCTGTTTTTAAACAGATCCTACACATTAAAAAAACACATTTTTTAATTTAAAAGACAAAAAAAAGTTATTTTTAGGATTTTTTAGCAAACATTCTTTAAACATAAAACAATTAAATCAGTTAGTTAGTTGCTAGGGTCTTAAATAATCTCCCCAATATGGCCAAGTAATTGGATAAAATGCATATTTTCTCCATGTATAGTAGTGCCGTGCTTCCCCCGCCTTGCTTCTTTCGACTGTACTTGTTGGGGGAAGGCTGATTGATGACCCATTCATAAACATGCGCCGTCTATAATGTGTATGGATGCACTGCAGGGGGGCTCCCCCCTTGTTCTTATGTAAAACCACCCGCTGAAACTCTTCACGGTTGGAAGTAAATGGTTGGTGACTGTTCAGGTGGGGGGTTGAAAACGAGGAGGTGAAAGAAAAAAAAATATCCACATCTGGTTGAATTCCAACTGATTAAGGGGGAAAAAACAACTGATTATTGAGAACATGTTGAGCAGAATTAAAGCTTCAGTGAGGATTATTGTCGCTTCACACCAAAGAGATTCCCGGTCCAGATCTAGGCAAGGAGTAGCAACAACCTCCCACAGCCACAAGCAGACTCCCGCTTTTACAACTTTAAAAGCGATGTGAGTAGTTTGTCTTTGCACCGACTTGGCGTATTTAATGCTGCCCACATATTTCTGCAATCCTCTCCAAATAGCATCCATATTGTACGCTTTTTTTTTTTTATGGTGGAGCAGTGCAAAGAGCTAATGAAGAATGCATCAGCTGGCAGGCTACCAGAAGGCCATGCATATTGGGTCAGAGCTGGTTTACATTAAAGGTGGCATTTTTAATTTTTTTTTTTTTATTATTGTGCAGTTCAGTTTTCAGGTCAGGACTATTAAAAAAGATGCTTTATGATTTTATAGTCCTTTTATATATAGATACGTTTTACACAACGTGTGGCTTTTATTTTCAATTAGCCGCTCTGCTAATTTAAATGAAAGTCAAATAATAATTACTGTTGTGGTTTTGGTGCCCGAGTTGTTTTACTATCAGCATGTGGGTGAAGCGAAGATAAGTGCTGAGCAGTAATCTCATTATCGGATTAGCCTGCAGCCTGCTCCTGCAGGCGAAATGGCACACCCACCCGAGCCAGAGCATCTAAACTCATTCATTCTCAGAGGGCGAAACTGGACCTCACAGGCCACTTAACGATGGATGTCATTTGAGGTCAAAGTGCACCAACACACCTATTAACCCTCAGGATCTCGCTTCCCAACTTTTAGCTTGTAGCGACTGCTTGAGTAAATGATTAAAACTGAAACGAGGAAAATCAAAAACGATAAATCTCGTTCGACGGAGGGTAAAGCTTGTTAATGTCGTCTGCAGGGAACGCACCCAGAGAGGGAAAAACGGTGGATGGAAGAGCGAGAGAGACGGAGAGTTTGAAAAGGAAGGAATCCAGTGAGATAAAGAACTGGACAGAAGGTAAGGAGAAGTAAATAAAGTTGCGTTTTGTGCACCACGTCAAGGCCGTTTTACTGCTGTTTTTCAACCACCGGGAGGTTAAACATTTATGATTTTTCACACGGAATATTAGATATAGAAAGTATGTCAAAACATGCTCACGTTGCATGATCACACTAACCTTTTTAACGCCTTTTAGTTGTGGCTCGCTGTGATTGGTGGTGCAGTATTTCTGATCCAGTAGTGGAGTGTATTTACTCAGACTGTGCTGGTGTACGTTGCCATGTCACACAGTAGTGTTTTCCATTTAGATTGCTCTTAGTTTCCACTGACTCGTCTACTGTTACAAGGCAAGCTGTCACTGCTACTTCCAGCAAGGAAACTTTCTCTGACCTTGAAGCGTTTTTAATTCTGCTTTCTTTTCCATTTTTGGCCCATATATGTTGCTATAATACTTTTTTTTTTTTTTTTTACATTTATCTCTGCCCACCTGAGACATTCTCCATAATTACAACACAAAGTTGTAGCAGTTTTACATAGTAAATCTTGTTTTCCAGATCAAGTCAGAGTTGTGCTGCTGAGAGTTTCAGTCTGATCCTAGCACAGAAACAGCCTTTGGGAACCACATGTGCACGCATGCGCACACCTGTAGCTGTTTAGTGGACGGATGTTTTTCGGGTGATGGGGCAGATAAAAACAAGATCGTCCAGTTTGGGGAAAATTGCAGATTTGTTTTTCATTCCCGTTTTCATTCATTTCCATACAGTCTCGGGTCGCAACAGTGCATCCGCTCGCATATTTTGAAGCCTGATCACTGCAGGAACATTTGGTAAAATTTTAAATTGAACTTTTGCTTTTATAGGTTGAAATACACTAATGATACACAGGTGTCCTGAATTTAAGTACAAAAAACAAAAAAATGGTTGGTTTATTTATTTCAATTAAAGCATTCCTGTAGAAGTTGGGAGGAAATCCACTCGGTCCCGTGTTTAAAATATCTCAAGAATGAAAAACAAACATTAACGCTGACTAATTTTAAACTTTTGGCCGAGCAGATGAGGCAGAAATGTGGGTGGGCAGGTTACTGTTAAATCAAATGGATGACTGAATAATGTACAAACCAGTGGATGATGACTCGTACCCAAAGACATGAAGCCTGTGCTTCTGCACACATTTCCCCTCGTTTCATAGCCCTGTGTGGGTGCCTCTTGAAGCCCCCCACTCCCACAGCAGCGAACTGCGACAAGTAGTCTTATCTGCCCCTGCACACGGCAAAACTACACATGTAAGTGCATGCACGTCGCGCTGTTTTGATACGAGTCGCAGCCCCGTGTTCGCTTCTGTTCAGTCTCCCCGTTTTTATCTTTGGCGAATTGAGGAAAGTTGACATTTACTGAAAAATGGCGCCGGGTTGCTTGCGCTTCCCTGGGGTTTCTTTCATCTTGACGTATCGTTTCATACAGAAAGGTATTTGCTTTGTAGACGGAGACTTGCATGCGGCTCTTGACACTGATGTCATCTTGCTTGGACAAGCCCAAAGGAATGAGGAGTGGTGTTGAAGCATCGTCGTCATAACAAGAGCTGATTTAAGTGCTGGGAAACGCGTTTAAGGCTGATTTTTCTCAAGAATAACATTTTAAAATGTTAAATTACTCAAGAACTATAGATAATGGGAGGACTATTTTGGGTATGCAGAACTTGCTTTGTTGCTTTGATTAAAATTTCATGAAACATAGCAGATATTTTGAATATTCACAATTGAATTTAACTTTTGTGCAAGACTTGAATTGGCGTGTATTAAACTTCAGCTGGTTGAATAATGTAATGCATTCAGGTGTCTGGAAATACTCCATTTTGTGCCTCTCATTGTGACAATATGCACATTTTATCACACTACCGCCTTAAACTTGCCACCAACGTCTAAAAATGACCCCCTACTGTGTTACAGTTTTACCATCAAACAATATTTTAATGAGTTGCTTTTCATGTATCTAAGGACAGCTGAGCTAACTGGAAAATTAATTAGCACATTTCTTAACACACTTCGGAGCGAGTATTTTTGTTTGAGTTTCTTCAACCAGTTATTCTTGGCTCGTTTCTGCCTCGATGCCAATGTTGGCAAATTTCTTTGGCCAGAAAGTGTGATGCTTCAAATCGGCCTGTTGCATAGTAACAGTTGGATAATTCAAACGGTTTTGAAAAAAAAGGAAAAACAGCGGATCCATTAGCAGCATCAAATTGTCTGGAAATGCTTAAATATTTTCAGTATTAAAATATCAACAGCTATATAACAAGATGAATGAGTTCTAGAGGATGACAAGCAACTAATATTGTCATATTATAGCACAAGTAGTGAAATATCTTAAACATTTATTGAGACTATGGCAGAGTGTAATTTCCTGTCCTTTTTCTCATAGTTGGTAATGTATCACTGTTCAAGCTTAATGTGGTTCAACACATCAGATTTTTTTTTTTATCTTTTGTGTTTAAGTTCTCATAAAATTCTACATTCGCCTCGTATAACAACTTTAATCTGATATTATAATTTTATTCTTGTAATTAAACAGTCGTAACGAGGTCCTAATATTATGTTGTGTAGTTGATTAACCTGATTTCAAAGTCCAAATAAAAAGAAGTTGTAAAACACTCTTGTCGAACAAGATGGCTGCCTGGGCGTTCTGACATCACTCAGAACTATGGAAACCCAAGAAGTGTGTTGCTGGGGGGGAAAAAAAAATCTGGATTTTCCAAAAATTTAAATTTGATGAATCGATGCAATCAGTTTATCACAGAGCCTTCCTCTCTTTTTGACACGTTTTACTTTTCAAAACAAGGTTCTGCCTTCAAAAAGGCAGCAACGCGCAAAATAAAGCAGAATATTCTAAAATAATAATAATAATAAATTCAAGTCATTATTCAAATACAAAATGACCATTAAGAATAATTCCACAGCTCTGTTTTATTGTGTGTCTAATGATGGAGATGCTACAGAGATGCCTGCTTCATTTTTTAAATATTTCCAGAGCCTCTTGGTTCTGATGACTCACCCAGAATTACTAGCGAAGATAAGACTTTGGCTCACGGTTATGTGTGGTTTGGTGGCATTGGTTATTGTTCACCGCACTGTATTTTACTGTATTTATTTATACAGCACTTATTGTATGCTGCAATTTAAAAAAAAAAAAAAAAAAGCTTATCTTTGCTGCTCAAACAAGGTTGTGCTGTGTTGCATCTGCAAACTCGGTGGTTGTCCACATGGGTTTGTTTGTTCTCTTATCGTGTTGGCTGGAGGACAGACTGGTTGCTATTTGAACTGGAAATGTATAAATAGGCCTGTGTGCTCCAAACAGGCAGAAGGAGCGAACACCCATTTTCTAACCTGTGGTCTAGAAGAAATAAGAGGCAGAGAGGCAAATATAGACGTGTCGTTCCAAACACTGGTCCTTTTATCCTGAAGCGATGTTTCTTTCTACAGCTGGCTTCAACACCATGTCCTTTTTTGTTTCTTGCTGTGTTCAGTGGTTTTTGCTCTATTACAAATCGTTAGCGCCGACCAAGCAGCAGAAACCTTTCAGGCTGACGGCTTTTTAAGCCTGGAGGATACAGTTACGATCAGCGATGTCCATAAAGAGTTGATCTCTGTATGCCAGCATTTTACTAACAACCATCTACAAACTTAAAATAATGACTGATGGTCTCAAATATGTAGGCACTGATCATGAGATTATTTTCATTCTGCTTTTTTCACTTAGTTTGTGTTGTGGTGAGATATATATTTCTTTTTATTATTTCTAAATTTATATAAAAAAAAACTTTTTATCATTCTCTTTTTTATGTTAATCTTTATTGCACCGTAATGTGTTGTTTTTAGGGCTGCAACTTTCAATATAATTGTTTTAGTGAGTTTATGATGGATAATAGATTAGTCGGATAAAAGAAATTGGCACATTTTCAAGATTTTTCAATTAATATCTTAACCCTTGTTAGACATTAATAGAAATAAATTAAAATATGTAAATAAGCAAATCAATCACTTTAATAAAAATTCAGTTGTCCGGAATGCAATAACATTGTATTCCCTTTGTGTACGTTTGATCGTTTGCAGAAAAGAAATACTTTCTACTACTAGTCTGATTATTTTTGGATTAATAGTTGGATAATAAAATGTGCTATTCAGATGAATTAAATAAATGTAGAATTAATGCTTGGAGATTTTTATTTTTGAGAATTTGAACCGGGTGAAGCTTAAAAATAAAAAGATATTAAAGATATTTACAATTTTTTTAAATTTTTTTTCATCTTGAATGCAAAATGTTGGTGTTTTTGTGTTCCTCTTTCAGGAAATGGCCACATTTAGGAGTCTCTGTACTCCAGTTAACAATGAATCAATTACTAAATTGGATGATGATTATTTCAGTAATAGATTAATCACAATTAATTCAATTAATCAATTCAGCCTTAATTGTATTTATATTGATTGTGGCCTGAAGGGCTACAGATGAAAACTAGCCTTTGTGGCCAATTGTGGCATATTATGCGACACACATTGTCCCTTCTGAAATAAATTACAACAATCCAATTCAAGACAACAGAAGCAACCTGAGAATGTTTTTGAATAATCTGATAGTGCGACTCTCGCTGAGACTCGTTTTAAGGTTGCATACGTAATGTATTTAAGTGCAAATTGAAGGTCGCAGTTTCTCAGCGAGCGTCTTAGTCCTGCAGATGGACTCCACCAACCAGTTCCTGCAGCCGGTCTCTGTGTTGTCCTGTTGCCTCATTAAGATTCCTGCCTTGCTGAACTTGTTCTGCTGGGCTCCCTCAGTAAGCATGACATGGCAACACAGGCTGGTTTTGGTTGAACAAGACCCACATATCCAGTCCTTGATATCTGAGTTGAAAGTTTCCCAATGAGTAACTAATTTTAGGCAGTAGCTGCGTAACATCAGGGGCTGTCACAGCTAGCATGCAGACAGAAACACGAGACAGGCTGGCGCTAGCTGGGGTAGCAATTACATTAA